ACACACACACACACACACACTCTCTCTCACACACACACACACTCTCTCACACACACACACACAAACACACACACTCACACACACACACACACACACTTGTGGAGGTTTAGTACCTCTTTTTCTCGTTATCTCATTAGTATACTCTGGGGATTGTCTAAACGGAGTGTGTTGTCAACGGAAGTGTGTGTGTGTGTGTGTGTGTGTGCGTGTTGCAGCCTGGCTGTGTGAACACGACTGAAGCCGACATAAAGAAATCCTCCCGGATGAAGCAGCCACACAAAACACGGAAGGTAAACACACACACACACACACACACACACACATTTACGGTATATATACGTCTCATGTTCCTGCCAGAAACAAATCTTGGGGCCGTTCACACACGTCTAAAAACATAAGATGCTGCGTTCAAGAAAAAAAGCGCAGGACAGAACGCCTCCTTCGACATGATTCCGTCTAATAAAACAAAAGTTTACTACTGTAAACAAAAGTTTGCAATGCTTGCCCCGCCTCCAGTGTCTTCTGATTGGTCCACTGTTCTGGAACTGACATTAATGACATTAAAATTCTTTTAACTCAACACTGCTTCTTAAAAACACTCCGCTCATGTGTGCAACACTGCAAAAGACGCAAGACATGAGCGCAACGGTCATACACGTCTGTCTACACTGTAAAAAAAATTCACCACAGCTGCCAGTTTTTTACCGTAAAATATACGGTAGCAACATTTTAGGGTTTACGGATTGAACTTAAATTTACAATTAAAAACCGTATTTCATTAACTGATTTAATGTTAATATACCAACCTATTGAAGTTCTGAAATCTGTTATATACCTTTGTAATGCACCGATAACCATCAAAATCAGGTGATGATGAGAAAGTCACATGATGAACCAAAGCTCACCACAAGGCCAATGCTATATATATATATATATATATATATATAGAAGGTGCACAGTGTCATTCACACAAACACTAAACACCATCATGGTGACACACATGAAACGGAAATATGCAATAAACTTTAATTTAACAACATCAGATGTAACATACAACTCTAATAAACATAACTGATAAGAAAAAAACTAAGACGTTATTTAAAAGAAAAAACATCAAATTTTAAATGCAATGCAGGGAATTCTGGGAACATCAATTTACGTTTTTTCACTGTAAATTATACATTCTTTTTCTCTTCCAAAAATGGTATTTTACCGTAAAATTACATTTGAGAGTGTGTGTGTGTCTGTATGTGTGTGAGTGTGTGTGTGTGTGAGTGTGTGTGTGTGTCTGCAGTCGGTGTACGGTCTACAGAACGACATCCGCAGTCCCAGTCCCACTCACACGGTCACACCAGAGGTCAAAGTGCCCACGGAGGACGAGCTACGCAACCAGGTGACTTAACGAGGACGCTCGTCACAGACACTGTGTTTGAGAAATACATGCACAGCTGCTGTGTTCTGTGTAGCGCACATGCATGCAGTATACGTGTAGCTGTTTTAAATGAATGCAAAATATTAACAACAATAAAATGGCATAAGGATACAGTTTTCAACAAAAAACTAATAATAAAGTCTTAACAAATCAGAATAAGATCAAAAATCAAAACAAGACAGACAATGAAAAAAATATAGTAATACATAATAATGAAAAAAGAAGGAAATCAAATCATTTTAATGCTTTTTTTAGCTTCTGTGATGACATTCTCAAAAAAATCAGAACAAAACAAAAGAAGACATACAATAAATAAATAAACAATAATACACAATGTATAAAAATAAAGTAATAAAAATGCTAAATAATTGATTTAGTAAATTATTTATTAAAGAAATAAAATCATTTTATAGTATATTACTATGTAAACTTGTACAGAAAATGTAAACTTGTACAGAAAATTATATGTTACAGGCATGGAGATCAAAAAATTGCTTAATAATGCTTTTTTAAAATTAATATCTTCTGACACGGCTTCCTCAAATAATCAAGACAAGACATAAAATAAGATACAATTAATGAAAAAACAATTACAAATAATACATAAAAAACTAAATAATTGCTATAGTAAATTATATATCATAAGGCAATAAAATCATTTTAATAATATTTTTATATTTAATAATGTCTGACTTTTTTATAGGGCTCTTTTATAAGGGCTTCTGGGAAGTATATTAAATTAAATAATATATAAACAGAGGACAGATTTAATGAATCTACAATTATGAATATTTTATTTTTATATTGTATTGTTTTTTTTGTTTGTTTGTTTTTTTGAAAATGAAGTTTTTATTGGTTTTCTTTATACATAACAAAACATACCAGTACAAAAATAAAAGCTGTTTAAATTTCGAATCTGTAAAACGTTGCACCAATTCCTTTTCTAGATCACCGATTTGTTTTTCTAAAAGTTTCACTTTTCTTACACTTTCTTTTTTTTTTCTACTTGCATAAGCAATACATTTCCCCCTGATAAATGCTTTACAGGCATCCCATACTGTTGCTAATCTCTGAGTTGACCCAATATTAAGTTCAAAAAACATCTTTATGTCATCCTGCACTGAGTCTACAAAGACCTTATCCTCCAGCATAAAGGTATTTAGTCTCCACCTCCCCCGTTTCTTAAAATCTACATTCACTTCTAATTTTAATTCCACATGTGCATGATCTGTCAATCCTATTACTCCAATTATACAATCAGCAACGGAGTCAATAAAAGAATTGGATATCAGAAAATAATAAATTCTTGAAAAGGTCTTATGACAATTTGAGAAGAATGTGTATTCCAGTTCTCGTGGATTAACCAGTCTCCAAATATCTGTTAATCCATTGTCATCTTTAAGAGTGTGAATAGCAGCCCTATCTCTGGGGATTGATCTGATATTGTTTTGACTTCTGTCCAGGATGCCATCCATAGTTTGATTAAAGTCACCTCCAAGTATAACATGTCCCTCGAGGTTGGCTAATATTTTGTTTACCTCATGAAAGAATTCAGGCTCCTCCTTATTTGGTGCATTTTGCATCCTGCTTCTTTCCCCTCGTTAAGGCCTATTATTTTGATGTTATTCCGCCTGCTGCGATTTTCTAAATCCTCAGCTTTATTCCAGAGTTCGTCCACAAGTTTCGCCATCCTCTCAGTATCACCAGTCAGGCGATTCGTTGAATCTTCCACGTGCAAGATGCGATTCTCGGCTTCGTCAAGTCTGGCCTGTACAGAACTTATAGCCTCTTTAAGTTCTGTAGTCGCTTTAATAGTTATCACATCACTTGCTACCCCCTGCAAAGTAGCGTTCATTTGACTAAGTTAAGCGAAAAGATCTTTCAAGTTCGGGTTTTGACTGCTTGACTCTAGTGACGGGGAATCATTAGCTTCTGGGATCGTTGTTTTCAGACGTGTTTGCACTCCTCGAATTGGTTGCTTGGACGATGTCATTTTGTCGTTTGTCGGCTGCCTCAAGTGAAAAGTTATCTATCGAAGTTTGATTAAATTTGCGAAGCAAATATATACTAAATAATGTAATTAATGGTGGGTATCCGAGCGCTGCTCTAGCGTGCTGCCATTTCCCAGCTTACCATCACGTGACTCTGTATTGTTTTTTTAATACAAAACAGTATTCTTTGGTCGATATTTTCTAAGGTGGAAGTAATTTTTTTATAAGCCAATCCTGTCATGTTCTCCAGAACGCACATGAGAAACTGCACGGAAATATGTTTTGTGTGCATGTAAGTACAAGTGCTTCAGTAGGGAATAATGTTTTATATGTAAGGGTTTGCTAAAAGACAGATCGAGAGCGTCTTCCTCTTCCTGTCTGGAGAAAGCAGAGCGATATGACGAGTGACGTATTTATGAGAACACGTTTAGAGTTAATACTGACTAAAATTAGCCTGTCTTCACGTTAAATCTTTATGACACAGTTTTTATAAGCAGCTCAGGGCTGTACAGTGTGTGCAATCACACACACATATTATATTATATATTAGTTCATGTTTCTCTATTCCACACCAGTGTTCATTTTCGTCAACGGCATTTTTTTCACTGACGACAACGAGACGATAACGAACTGAAACTCTTTTTGAATGACAAAAACATTGACGTAAATCTATTGACATTTTCGTCAACGAATAAAAACGTGACGAAAATGTTAGGGAGGGACGATTTGGGAAGAGATTAATTCAGAACGAATCTGCTGCATAGTTCGGAGGTTAGATGGGTACATATGAACCGGCGGGACATAAGCAGAAATACACTTGCTGCACGTCGCATAAAACATTCAAAAATGTCAATATTGTGGGAGTAAGAGAAGAGCAGACATATGGATAAATCTGATGACGCAAGAGAGAACTCAATTCGGTCCGGTTTTCTGAGCACAGACACTGAAGCGTACACACACAGAAAGTGCCTCTCACAGCGCGCAAGTACTCTCTCGCGTTCGTTTTCTGAGCGCAGACACTGAAGCGTACACACACAGAAAGTGCCTCTCACAGCGCGCAAGTACTCTCTCGCGTTCGTTTTCTGAGCGCTAATAATTATATTATTATTATTATTATTATTATGATTATTATTATTCTGCTGTTTATTATTATTAGTAGTAGTAGCATTAATATTACTATTATTATTATTGTAAATCTGCATGTGTGCCTGTAGCTTGTTGAGTTTCTCGGAGCAGTATATCGAGTACGATCCGTTCTTCACGACGCCGGAGCCGTCGAACCCCTGGATCTCTGATGATGTCACTTCCTGGGAGCTGGAGGCCAGGTGTGTGTCTCGCGTTCTTCCTTACTTTAGTGATTTTACACCGCAGATGATTTTAGTCAAGCGTAAACTAGTATTCGTTTCAGTTCAGTGTCATGAACCTTCAGATGAATCACAACACAAGATATAAAGCCAAAGCCCAAACTGAAGTGAAAAATCAAAGCAGGGCAAAAGTTAAAAACATACACATAAAGCTCTGTGATAAGAGCGAGTGTCTCCTCTGCTGCTGTAGACTGACTGTAGATCAGCGTGTGTGACTCTGACAGAAGAATAACTCGTCTCTCGCTCTCTGTCTCGCAGTAAAGAGGCAGGACAGCAGCGGGTGAAGCGCTGGGGATTCGGCTTCGACGAGGTTCTGAAGGATCCGGTCGGGAGAGAGCAGTTCCTCAAGTTCCTGGAGTCCGAGTTCAGCTCCGAGAACCTGAGGTAAAGACACCAGCCTCCAGCTTCAGAGCACTCTCATGAGAAAACAGGAGGAGGAGGATGATGATGAAGAACACGAGTCTAAGCTAACCTAACCCTGGAGCTGGATGATATTTATTTTTTGCAATGATATAAACAATCATGCAGATGAAATTTGCAAACTTTTTATTACAAAGGGTCAAAAATCTAACTTGGTTGAGGGCCGTGGGTCAAAAGTAAATGTTGCTTTATATCCAACTATATTATATTATATGTTTAACAATTTAAATAAACTAAGCGTAAATGTTGCATTTCATCTGTTATATTGTATTAGAAAGAATGGATACAATTTTTACCATTTTTAAATAATTAAATAAAATATAAATGTTGCATTATATCTGACTATATTAAAAATAATAAAATAAAATAATTATTTCCAACTATATTATAATAAAATTATTACGTTTTTTAACATGTCTAATAATTAAACAAAAAGTAAATGTTGTATTATATCCAACTACATTATATTAAAATTGGTTACATTTTTAGCATTTTTTAAATAATCAATCAAAAAGTGTTTCATTACATCTAACTATATTATATTAAAATGTATTAAATTTTTTATATTTTTAAATAATGAAACAAAAATTAATATTGCGTTATATTATATTATTTTTGTAACATTTTAAAACATATATTAACAAGTAAATTTGGCATTATTGCCAGCTATATTATAAAATATATAAATTATAATATATATATTTTTAATTTATAATTATTTTTAAAAACATTTTTAAATAATTAATTAACAAAAAAAACATTATTTCCAACTATTATATTAAAATATTATTTTTTAACATTGTAAAATAATTAATTAACAAGAAATTTTTGCATGATACTCTACTATATTATGTTAAAATGTTATAATTTATTATATTACATTTGTTAAACAATTTAAAAAGTCACTTTTTCATTATTTCCAACTATATCATATGAAAATATTAGATTTTTAAACATTTTTAAATAATTAAACAAAAACTAAATGTTGCATTACACCCAACTATACTAAATTCATATGTATCAGTTTTTTAAATAATTAAAAATGTAAATATTTTTTTATTCACTTGTATTGTTAAATGCAATTTGTGTTCCACTTCTTAATTGTTGTTGTCTAGATAGATGTTTTGACCCGCAGCCATTGTGTTTTGTTTAACCAAACATGTTATTCAGTTTATTTTAAGCAGTTTCACTTTGCATTGAGAAGATGATACTTTTTTAATACTCAAGTACAGTTTAAAGTTGTACTTTTACTGAAGTGTGTTTTTGGCCAGATACGTAAAGATTTCACTGAGTATCTGTACTTTTACTTGAGTTTGATTTTTGGGTATTTTTACACCCCTGATTGAAGAGAGCTGCACTGAATCATCAATGAACTGACTTTAGCTGGAATATGTGACCCTGCAGCACAAAAGCAGTGTTAAGTCGCTGGGGTATATTTGTAGCAATAGCCAACAATACATTGTATGGGTCAAAATTATACATTTTTCTTTTATGCCAAAAATCATTAGGATATAAAGTAAAGATCATGTTCCATGAAGATATTTTGTAAATTCCGTACCTAAAACTTAATTTTTGATTAGTAATATGCATTGCTAAGAACTTAATTTGAACAACTTTAAAGATGATTTTCTCAATATTTAGATTTTTTTGCACCCTCAGATTCCAGATTTTCAAATATTGTCCTATCCTAACAAACCATACATCAATGGAAAGCTTATTTATGCAGATTTCAGATGATGTATAAATCTCAGTTTCAAAAAATTGACCCTAATGACTGATTTTGTGCTCCAGGGTCACATATGACTCTTTGTTATTGTCCTCTTGCATTATTGACAGTGTTTGTGCTTCATCAGGAGCACATCTACAAGCTCATGAAGAGTGACTCCTACAGCCGCTTCATCAGATCCAGCGCCTACCAGGAGATGCTGCAGGCCAAGAAGAAGGTAAAGCCTCAGAAACGACTGGAAACGTCCCTCTGAGCGCCGTCCTCGTCACACACAGAGATCAGACTCAGTGCCATATCACCGTGTCCTCTTTGTTTTACTTGCTGTCTGCTTTTGCATTATTTCTATTAAAACACCTGGTTTCCCGTCACGTTGTTTCTGGCGAGTCTCTTTTGTTTTGCACGTGTTTCTCTTTGTTTCTGTTGTGTGTGTGTTTTGTTTTGAAGCGATGAGACGAAGTGCTGGCGCTGGGTTTTCTGTGATGTGGTGAGTTTTGTCAGATGCACGCGTGTGTTTTCTGGAATCAGTGTCAGAAATATGTTGGAAATTACCACAGAAAGCCATTTCAGTCTCCAGTAATGTAGTGCATTACTAAATGCAAAGTGCATGATAAAGATTGTAGTTAGTAATATAATCTGTTACATTACAAATTTTAGGTAATATAATCCGACTACTTTTGGATTACTTTTAGATTACATTTGACCAAAGTAATGTCATTTTTTCATTTATTTTTAAATTTTTTTTATGTAGTATTTATTTTTTATTTTATAGTATAGTATTTTTATATATTTTTTAATTATTTTTGTATTTTTAAATTATTTTTATATATTTTTATTTTATAAAAATAAAATATATATTTTTCAATTTTTTATCATTTTTTTTGTAAAGCTCTTTAAATTGCCACTGTGTTTGAAACTTGCCTTGAATGTGAAAATGTTGTTCCATAATGATACAAAAATACAAATAAGAATATTCCATTCTTTGTTATCAAGAACACGAAGGGCGTTAAACACTGCGTTACATTAAATTAAAAGAAATAATTTTAAAACGTAATAAAAAATAATCCAAATGAAACACTTGCTAAAAATGGTGAAATATTTGATTTATTGATGCTAAATGTCAGTGTCAGTTTTCCCTGTGTTTAATTCCACAAACTTTCCGAAGCAATAGTCCTTTTAGAAAGGAGAATGTAAAATAGAAAAATAAAAGAATTCGGGAGAATCAGTGAATTATTAATATTTTATTGCCATTTTGTGAATATTAAGCGATCAATAAAAAAGTGAGTATTTTAAAATGTACTATAATCTAATTACACGTATTTAATTACTGTAATCTGATTATGTAATCCAGCACAATCTCTCTGTAAAAATCAATACTGTTTACAGTAATTCAGTTGTACACTACTTCTAGTATTTGGGGAACTACTCAACATAGAGTTGATTTAGAATTCAACTTTGCTTTCATTTATTGAACACTTTTTCTATTGGAAGCAGCTTTATGTAAAATATGAAAGTTGTACACTACTTCTAGTATTTGGGGAACTACTCAACATAGAGTTGATTTAGAATTCAACTTTGCTTTCATTTATTGAACACTTTTCTATTGGAAGCAGCTTTATGTAAAATATGAAAGTAAAGCTGTCTTTGATCGATTTATCAGCTCTTTCTCTTTTCTTTCACAGAAAAGCAAGAATCTTTTCTAGGGTCTGAATCACAGGTGAGACTTGCCTCAGCATACTTTGCATTATTTACAATATCAGAACATGGATAATGAACTGAATGATAAACAGCTCTTCATCTTCTCCACAGAGTCTCATTTATAGTGATACAAATAATAACTATGTGATTAAATGATGATATCAGCTTCTGCTGAAGCTATAAATCTGCTTAGTCAAATGTATTAGTGTATCTCTTTTCATAATACAGATTGTTTTAAAGCAGCTTTACAGAAAATCATGATGTTAATGTTTATAATATCTTAATATCATATACTATAGTCACATTGATCAGATTAGAGCCAGACGATAATGGCGTTACATTTATGACGATATAAAGAATCAAGCAGTTGAGATTTGCTGTATAGTGTATATGGCTCTACGTGAGTGAACTGTATGTATGTGGATAAAGTTGGACAAAAATGTGGTATAACCACAACGTGAATAAAAATTCAAGGTGGAAAAAAATATGTCTTCGTTTTTAAGAGTGGAGGAAAAAAATTACGAGGGAACAAAACGGGATGAAGAGGGAATAAAAATGTTTTTGGCGAGAGAGAAAAACAATTGAAGAGAGAAAAATATAAGATTTTTTTTTTTGAAGAGTAACAATATTTTTGGTAACACTTTACAATAAAGTTCCATTCGTTAACATTAGTTAGTTAGCTAATGTACGCTAACATAAACTAACAATGAAAACTACTTCTAAAGCATTTCATAATCTTAGTTCATGTTTATTGATTCCAACATTTACTAATACATTATTAAGATCAAGTTGTATCTATTATTTAATGTACCTGAGCTAACATGGACTAACAATAAACAGCTGTATTTATATGAACTAACATTAACAAAGATGAATAAATACTGCAACAGATATATTGCTCATTGTTAGTTCATGCATTAAATACAGTTAACATATGGAACCTTATTATAAAATGTTACCAATATTTTTTGAAGAGAAAAAAAAAATTGAGAAAAATTTAAAAAAATGTTTTGTATGTTTTTGAAGAGAAAAAGGTTACACTTTATTTTAATGTGTCTTTGTTACAGTGTTATTTATGGAAGCCTGTTTCCGCCACTGAATAAAAAATAAAACAAGGTATTTGCGACTTTTTATCTCGAGTTATAAAGTTGCAATTCTGAGTTTTTTTCTTGAACTGTGAGAAATAGAACTGTGAGATAAAAAGTCGCAATTAACTTGTTTTATTTTTTATTCAGTGGCGGAAACGTGCTTCCATAGTTATACATTTAAGTACTGAGTAATATTAATTAACTACATGTACTTACTATATGGTTAGGGTTAGGATTTGGTTTAGGATTACTTGCATGTAATTATGCATAATTTATTATTATAATGCATAATTTATATTTAATAATTAATTTAATATATTATGAACGCCTTAAAAAAATTTGAAGACAGAAAAATTGAGACACACAAAATGGGGAACAAAATTGTACGTTTTTGGTGAGAAAAATGTTTTGTGAAGAAAGAAAATTGAAAAAAAAAAAAAATTTTTTTTTGGAGAAGAATTTTTGACGAGAGAAAAAAAACTCGGAGCGAAAACTAATGTTAGGACTGCGGCTCAGGAATGACCTCGGACTTTTTTTTCCCACCTTGATATTTTAGAAAGAGCAGCGAAAGTGAATTCCACTGATTCTGTGTGTGTGTGTGTGTGTTCCTCTCTCAGATGCCGTCAGCGCTTGTTAAACCACGCAAACATCACGTCACTCGTCTGTGCATGAATGCTGATCATTATAGAGAGCAGATCCATCTCTGCATGAGCCACACACTTCTGAAGGACTTCAGCTCACAAAGCCATCGAAGATCCTCCTGAAAGCGCTCGACATCGCTCTAGGTTCATTTGCACTTTCTCTCCATCTGAGCTTTTAGACTTATTTTTATATCCCAGAACAATGTTTTGTTGTTTTCTGTACGCTTTGCTTCTGTAAATGTGTACAGATCCTGAGAGTCAGCGTGATTTCTGATGATGAGAAACACTTCAGCGCTCACACTATCTCTGCTGTTTGATACAGACATGTGTAGTGGACACTAATAATAAACAACAATAATATTTGGACATCTGTATTTTAAACATGACCCAGCGTCCATACGCTAATGTTCATTTAAGATGATGGTTTGGTGGTTTTTGGAGCCCGACCGACACTGATCTGAGATCTGCGCCACACTGTTATTTCATTTGAGGTTTATTTCTTCAGAAAACGACTGCGATCCAAAGACGCTCATCCGGTCTGGGTTCTTGCGTTGATGATATAGATTCTGTACAGATACATCAATAAAAGGACTGGAGATTAAAAGTGACTCAGTGAATCATTAAGAATCGTTTGTGTCGTTCTGAACAGCAGAGGGCAGTGAATCGCAGTGATTCAGATTCAATTCATGACTGATCGTTCATTCTCATGAGAAACCTTGCTTTAATTTCATTGTCAAAAAAGTTCATTTTTCTGCCGTGTCATTTAGTAACAGCTTGGCATTGCTAACTTATATCTCGACTTTTCATTTTTATCATATAAAACATGCAATATTTTATAACAAATTCATGATTTTTTCACAAATTAATTCTTTAAACTCAAAACACTTCCCTCTGCTCAGACTATAATCAATAAAGGACTAGATCAGCTCATGTTTGCCAGTGAAACACAATTTACGAGAAACTGTTGATTTCAGTTTTGTAAATGTTGCAGTTTCTTCTGTCTGTTACTTCATCAGTCCCATGATTCCATTTGTGTGATTTCTGAGTTTTCTTCATCTATTTTTCTAACATTTTGAAACGGACTGAAGTTCTATTCTGACACGCAGTACACATAGCAAGGTTTTTTTTTATTATATAATAAATAAAAAGAAAACAAAGAGAATAGAGCAAGCTAGTGTTAGAGGCCTTTTTTGCTTTTGATAATTGTATAATAAATAAAAAGAAAACAAATGGATAGAATTCAAAAAGATTAGAAAAGCTAGTGTTAGTTTAAAAAAGAAAAGAAAACAAGCAGTAAATGAATAGAGTGCAAGTCTAAAAGGGACAAGTTTTTTTTAAAGAATAGAATTAGAATACATTGAATATAGAATATATATATATATATGAGAAACAATGTATTTTTTGAGCATTTGACATTCAAATAATTAAAATTGCAAAAACAATATAGAGTGGAACTGTAACATATTTAATAAACTACTGTCATAATAAATAATTCCTTATTTTTTAAACCTTTTTCCATGACTGAAGTCAAGAGATCTGGGATGATGCAGGTTAATTAATTAACATTACATCAATTTAAATGAGCTAGAATTAGTCACAATTTTCATCTGCAATAATAATAATAATACACTAAGCACATAAACATAAATGATATCAACCACCAAATAATACAACAACAACTGATATTTCCCAAATGTCTCCTTTTGTGTTTCACAGAAATTTTTTTTTTGAGTTGTAGGTGAACTATCCCTATAAAAAGGTAATTTCTATATTTTGCTTTAGTGCGTCAATATAAAATCAGTTTTAGATTTAGTAATACTGTAAGAAGGAGTTGTACAGAAGAAGGTCTGAGATCTGATCTCACTATCATCGAGAAACGAGAGAGAGAGAGAGAGACACAGAGAGAGAGACAGAGAGAGAGA